ATGTCCATATGCTTTATAAAGGAGTATTTACACCTATTAGGCTTAATTGGGTTAAGTAGATACATGGTCACTATCTTATTTTATTCCTACCATTTTTTCAGATTAGTAGATGTCATTTACTAGTGCGTGACTTCTTTTTCTTGCAAGGTCGAAATTCGAGGATAAATTTTCTTCAAGAAGAGGGGAATGATAGCATCCTAGGAAGCTCAAATCTATTCAAGGGCAAGAATGAAGCTTTAGAATCTCAAAGAGGGCCTTTAACAAAATGTCAAGTTAAAGAGTTGCAAAACAAGGTTATTAGACTTCAAGTGCAAATAAAGATGTTAATTGGGATGGAGAGCTCAAGGATAAAGGATATGAGTTGTCTAGGTATTATAATTATTTTATGGTCCAAATTCATGTCCAAGAAAAGGTGAATTAGATCGCAAGAGACATCCTCTGAAGAAGGTCCAAATCAGGCCATTATTGGACCTATTTGGCACCTAAAAATGTGTCCAAACTTGCATCCCAATAAGTCCTACATGAAGCCAAATTTTTATAACATAAAAGGACTTACTTGCTGCCCAAGAAAGGTTCAATAGGCGTGATAGAAGTTGGTGCCAAGTTGCTTGTAAGTTGCCTCCAAGATTTTCAAGATCCTATCCATGATTGGTTTGCGACTTTCAAGATTCTATCCAAGATTGGTTTTAACTTATTTCCATATATTTTGGTACTAGATTTATTGTTTTCCTAGGTAATTAAGATTATTTTTTCCTTTTCCTAAGATTGTTGGAGTTACTTTCCAAGATTGACTTGGTTTTTGTTTCCTGGTATTTTTTCTTTTCCTAAGGTATTTGGACTTGTTGTCCAAAGTAGTTTATGACTTTATTTCCTTATTTTTATGTAGGAATTTTGTGACCCCCTCTCTATATAAAGGGGTATCTTCTTTGTTTTTAGATTTTAGATTATGATAGACAATATCAATAAAAACTGTTAGATTTTTCTTGCACTCTTGTGTGTGGCTACTCTTGGATTTATTCTTCAACCTTCAAGACTCAACTTAAGGTGGTAAGATTAAACTCTTTCGAAATCTTAGATCACTTCTAGGTATTCAAGAAAGGTGATAAGTTTAGGCTTATTGTTGTTCTTGTTATTCTAAAGGGTCGGGTTTCACAATCTATCTTTTGTTTTTAATTCTGTACCAAAGGCGATTAGTTCTTTATTAGCTAATTGTTGTTGTTAGGATTCAACTTCAAGAATAGACTTCTTGAATTCAAGAAACTCTTTCTTGAATTCAATCTGATATAGAAATTGGCACACAAAAAGTTGAGCCAGAGCAGAGTAAATTGTCTGATATAGACACAGAGACAAGGGCAACAGTGGAAAAAATGATGTTTGATCAAAGACAAAAACAGATGGGACTTCCAACAAGTGAGGAGATTAAGAATCAAGATATGCTCAAGTTCATGGAACAAAACTTTTCATTGTGATCTTCATACTTTTCATACAATTCTCCTTATTTACCCAGTTGAATGTACATAAAAATACATAATCATTTAATGGGCTATAATATATTTTTTTTTTACAAGGACAAAATGATCTCTCAATCTTTAAAGGATATTTTTGTAAATCAGCTTTTGAATTAGGGTGCTCCACTTTTAGTGCAGTATGATAATACTACACGTTAGTTTGAAATGGCCCTTGCCATTCAAAACATTGAACACAACACATAAGGTAGCATATACGCAGATTGGATCAGAGAAACCATGGCACATGCATGGATCAACTTTACCGCTTTTGTTTTTGAAGATATTTGTTGGATATGGTTTCTATATTAGCTAAATAAAATTAAAATTCATCATTTTCATTCTTTAATAATATTTAAATTAAGATTAAAAATTCATCATTTTCAGAAACTTGAATTTTTTCATTTAGCTTTAATTTTATAAATCCAAAATGTTCTTTAATAGTCTATTTAAATTAAGATTAAAATTCATCATTTTCATGAACTTGAGTTTTTTCCTTATTAATATGGGGTACACGCGCAACGCGCATGGCCAGATACTAGTCCTATTAAAAGTGCATAGCTTTTGACAAATAGCTTAGTTTGCGTTGCTAGATGAAACGTTAAAAAAGAAAATTCGATGTCAAAGGTTCAAACCTTGTATGAAAAGCATGAAGATCACAATGAAAGAATTAGTAAACGACTGACAGATTTTCTAAAAATTAATGCATTTCAATAGAATTCTGGTGACATTGCTTCTCAAGTAATTGTGTACAGAGCAAGGCAAAAAGATTCTTACTAGTACTAAACAAACTATTCATAGACTAAAATTAGCAAAAGACATTAAGAAAATAAACAAAATCTCATCCAAGATGAGAAGGAAAAATGGATGCCATCTCTTCTCAGCCTGAATCTACAAACTGTAGTACTGCCCGATCCAGCACATACCCCTATTTACTTTTTCTCCAAACCCTCTTCTTACTCCTCATGAAGAGCAGAGAAAAGATTAATAAAATAAAATAAAAATAAAGAAAACATAAATGAAAAAATAAAAAAATAAAAAAGCTAAAAAGGAGGAAAAAAACTACATTTTACATCGATAAATGGCTAAAGAAATGCATGTGCTTATCCAAATCAGCCGGTGGACAACTGCAAGCATGAACGTGCCAGAAGGTGATACGTGACATTCCTATTTAATTTGCAGCTGTTAGAAATGCCATTGAAGAAGCTCTCCCGTTTCCATCGAGGAAACTATCTAGCACAGGCTGCACAGGTAAAAGCTGTCTGTAAATTTGGTAAAGAGAGGATGGGTTATAAGCAGTGAAAGCATGCACATAAAAGGACAGCTCGGTGCACTAAGCTCCCGGTATGCGTGGGGTCCGGGCCCCCGAACCACAGGGGTCTATTGTACGTAGCCTTACCCTGCATTTCTGCAAGAGGTTGTTTCCACGGCTTGAACCCGTGACCTCCTGGTCACATAGTAGCAACTTTACCAGTTACGCCAGTGAAAGCATGCACATAGATGAAGGAAATTCCGAGCTGAAGTTTCTGAGACATCTAGATTTAGTGTAAACCAAACATAGAAAATCTCTGTAGGTTAGTTTAGTTTTTCACTGGGTCGCTCAATTCTTGATCAGCTCACAGGTACTAAAGAAATTGTGCCATAAGTTAAAGAAGCAGAGAACATATCCATTAACAGACCAAACAGTCACAAATCTTCAGTATCTTGTGGCTCTCAAATGATGAGGCAACTCTCAACCTTCAGCTCATCCATTGGCCTTGAAATTTGTAGATGAACTGTTTAGCACTATTTTCTCATGCCTAACTCTACAGGTTCAGAACTTATCAATTATCATCAAGCACCAAATAATGCTTTGTGGTGCCCTGTGCCCAATTATCTCAACTTAAATTCTCTCAGCTCCCACACATGGGGAAGAAACAATGTACATGACCGCAAGTTTACACTATAGTTTTCTTATAAGCTGAAGATAATTGATATACCGAAAAGAGAAGCATAACTGCCAGCTGTCAGGTTAAAGCAGGAATGCTCTTCCAGCATGGTAATCCAAATTGCAAAAAGAACAAAATTTCAGTATTCTCCAAAAATAGGATTAGAAGTTATGGAGGAACCAGCAAAAGATATTTACCGAACACTGGAAGCCTTGCACAATACTTATCAAGAATATTTTTGGCATTGGCAGTAACTTAGGCTTACTGAGTAGAAGATTTGTCTTTTCTCTATCAAGAAATTTCGCTTAACTTTGCAATCCACTGATGTTTGGTGTATGCAGATCAGAGATGTCTTTAAGCTCATTGTATATCACTATCTCTTATTGCGTTAGCCTATAACTTAGGATCTCAAACTAACTAGTATTACTGTTGAAGTGTGTGACCATCTCATCTAAAAGCTTAAGCTGTTAGAGAGAACATACTTTTATTTACTTAATTATGTCTTCAACACGCCTCCTCACGTGCAGGCTTGATTTGGTGGTGAGACTCGAACCCAGAACCTCTTCCTGGCTCTAATACCATGTTGAAGTGTGTGAACTGTGACCATCTCAGCTAAAAGTTTAAGCTGTTAGAGAGAACACACTTTTATTTACTTAATTATGTCTTCAACTATTACTTTATTTCAATAGTGTCCTCTAGGTATTTCACGTCAAAGCAAGCATCTGGATTGCTCAAGTACACTAGATGATATTTCTTCATTGAACTACTTCTCAGGTTTATTTAGTCCATTAATAGACATTTATTAGCAACTTAGTCAGAAATTAACCTAGCATCATTCAGCTGTTTCTTCAAGTATGTCTGATGGCAATTTCTCCATATTTATTAATCTAGCCAGTCCAGGGAGTCTCTTTTTGTTTGTGGTTAGGTCAGCCCAAGGTTAACTCTGTGTAATCTCTATCACTTAACCTCTTTTCAGTGTTTGGCAAGTTGTAAAAGTGCTTAAAACAAGCCATAAGCTGGGCAACCCCAACTTATCGCTTTTTGGCTTAAAAGTTATTTTTGTTTGACCAATGATTTTACCTTTTTTATCCCTTACACTTTTCCGTAATTTCCAAAAGAACCCTACATAACAAAAGGCCCCAACTCTACTAGTTTAGTTTCTTCTTCATTCCTCCACAAGTTTTCATCTTTGACTTCCATGGCTATCTCTATGGCATAAACCAGTGGTGTGTGTAACCTATCTTCCCCCTGTTTTTGTTTTCTGTGCATTAGTTAGAAATCAACCATCATATAGAGTATTCTTCTTTTCGTTGATATTCTTGAAACTCTCAAAAAGTTAAAAGCTTCTATAAGGATCTCATTTTATTTATGCAATTGAAAAAGATAATTTTGCCTAGTTGAGATTTGGTGGAGCTTTTGAAATTATTTCAGATGGTCTTCAAAGGGACAAGGATTCAGGAATGAGTCCCTTTTTTAAAAAAAAAAAACATCCTCCTTTGTTAGTAGCAAGTTTCACAAATAATTATTATTTTATTTTTCTTGAAAATCCTTTTTTTTTTTGAGAGTTAGAGACTCTCTATTTCCTTTTACCAAACAAAAAACAAGCTTGTTAGCAGTAAAGAATAACAAACACTAATTATCAAAAAATAAAATCTAAACACAAATATTTCTAAAATCTTTAGAGAAAATTCTTTAAAAACAATATTTTTAATGTTAACAGATTTAAGGACATTTCAGTAATTTTAACAGAAAAAAGTGCTTAACGGCACTTTTTCGCCAAACGCATCACTGCTTATTTTCAGCTTCAGTATTTTTATCCAAACACGTAACTACATATTCATAAAACCAGCTCCCGCACTTAAAAAGTGTTTTTAAGATTCGCCAAACGCATCACTGCTTATTTTCAGCTTCAGTATTTTTATCCAAACACGTAACTACATATTCATAAAACCAGCTCCCGCACTTAAAAAGTGTTTTTAAGATTCGCCAAACGCATCACTGCTTATTTTCAGCTTCAGTATTTTTATCCAAACACGTAACTACATATTCATAAAACCAGCTCCCGCACTTAAAAAGTGTTTTTAAGCCCTTGCTGCTTTTATTCAGCTAACCCAAACGGGCCCCAAATTTATACATCACTTGTCCCCAGAGGATTGAGAATCAGTACCTCATTATTTGCTTTCGAAAGGAAGAATGGTTCTTTTTCACGCAGCCCATCATTGTCAGCAAGAATTCTCTCCAGATCCTGCAAGTTAAAGAAGAATAATGGCAATTAAAAGAAACATCACGTAAAGAAAGTCAGTAAACAAGAAATGAACACAAAATTGAGTCATGTACTGAGGGTTGGTACTTGGTACAACTCCTCTCAGAATATATTGTGAAAGACCCTGGGATAATCCTACCCTAGTTGATATTGGAAAAAAACAAATCATATGGAGAAAGTATACAGGGAGAAAACACGAATTATGAATAACGTATGAAGATATGTTGAGGACTTGAGGGTTGGTACGACATCACTCAGAATGTCATAGTGAAATGTATTAATCCTACTCTCCAATAGCCACTGAAAATGGACGAAAGCTAGTACTCCTGTTAAGCAATTGAGGCAAACTTGAAATATAGATACTTCCCAAGAATTTTTACACAATACTGAATTTCAATGGGGAAAGTCACAATTTTCAATGTGCTGCATTCTTGCTTGACCAGAGCTTATTATTCATTATATATTTTAATATTATTGCCTCTTTCTGGTAACCATTCCAATGGAACCACTCCTTTGTGTGGGTGATCATAAGACGTTATTCTTCTGACGACTTCTCCAGGATCTTTTTGTGTTGATGCTCCGGAAACATTCTCGTTACGATTTACACACCAATTCAAACTACACTAATTATATTACCATACCACTTTTTGGTGTTTCAGATAAATTCCCTTCTGTACGTTCTACAAGAAGCATTTTCTTTAACTATGCAATTACCAACAATCTTTTTAGGGCTAAAACATCAGCACCATTTTTCTTCCTGTGATTGCTCACTATTTCGTGAAACAATTTGGGCGACTCGTCAACAATTTGAATGGGCATATTTAAAGTTAAGAGAATTAGTGAAAATTTGTATATTTGTATAGAATCGTTTTAGTGATTTTAACAGAATAATTTGGAATTCCAAATCAAAGCTCCTAGCTGAGGAGCCTCCTTGTATGTTGTTAACTACCAATGCAATAAGATATTTCTCCTCTTCTTCTATTTCTACTGCTTTATCCAGGAATTATATGTTTAGGAATTTAATCAGGTCTGGTTTTATTTAATCAATGAGGACTCACTTAGATTTTGTGATTTGCAAAGGGGAAAGCAAGATCACAAGAATTACAGAAAACCTTGTTCATGCAAAATAGAATGCCAAAGTGCTATCCCAACCAAAAACCTCAAACTATAAAGACCCAGAGGCACCATGAAGAACTCAGTTCAAAAAAGGACGAATTTCAGATGATTTTTTTTAATTTAGTTTTTGCAATTTCAAACACATACTTCTACATCAACTTACCTTTCTTGTCAAAATTTCATACTTGAGCAGGTCCTCTACAATCTTCTCTAGCACTTGTCGATTTCTCTGTAGCATTTGTTTTGCTTTATCATAAGCCATATAGTACATCTGTGCCAAAAAATCAAGCAGGCAATTAATGAATTAAGGAGCTTGTTATCGAACAAGGTATGGGAAAATAGTTGATGTCTTATTCCATGAAGTAATCAGTATATATACATGTACAGAGAATCCTAACTATGGAAAGAATCAAAAAGGAAAATCCTACAGATATGCTATCAAATCCCTATAGTTATGCTATTATGTATATTACAAGGAATATGACTACATTCATTCTTTAATACTCCCCTCAAGCTGGAGCATAGATATTCAGCTTGTTACAAAGGTAATCAACTCGAGTTCCACTCAACGCCTTGGTGAACAAATCAGCTAGTTGCTCTCCCGTCTTCACATAGCCAGTGGAAATCAAATTTTCTTGAATCTTCTCACGAATAAAATGACAGTCAACCTCAAGACGTTTAGTTCCTTTATGATACACCGGATTTGAGGCAATATGAAGAGCAGCTTGATTATCACACTTGACAATGATACTTCAACCCAATTTCAGTTAAAAGGTGATGTATCCACATAATCTCAGACGTAGACTGTGACATAGCTTTATACTCAGATTCTGCACTGGATCGAGATACAGCATTTTGCTTCTTACTCCTCCATGATATCAAGTTCCCTCCAATAAAAACACAATATCCTGTAGTGGATCTTCTATCAATTTTCGATCTAGCCCAATCAGCATTAGCAAAACACTCAACACAAGTATGGCCGTGATTGTTATACAATATGCCAAGTCCAGGAGCTCCTTTCAAGTAACATAGAATATGTTCCAAAGCTTCCCAATGTTTGACCGTAGACATCACCTTCAGTTAAAAGGTGATGTATCCACATAATCTCATACGTAGACTGTGACATAGCTTTATACTCAGATTCTGCACTGGATCGATCTAGCCCAGCCAGCATCAGCAAAACACTCAACACAAGTATGGTCGTGATTGCTATACAATATGCCAAGTCCAGGAGCTCCTTTCAAGTAACATAGAATATGTTCCAAAGCTTCCCAATGTTTGACCGTAGACACGGACATGAACTGGCTAACAACACTTACCACAAAAGAAATATCTGGACGAGTCACCGTGAGGTAGTTTAACTTTCCAACTAACCTCCTATATCTCTCTGGATCATTAAAAGGATCACCATCATCCCCGTTGGAGTACTGCACGGTTTGGCTGTCAACTTTCCAGTTCGGAAAATAAGTTAAGAATATACTTTCTTTGAGACAAAAAAATTCCCTCCTCGCTTCTATTTACTTCTACTCTTAAAAAGTATTTCTACTGGCCCAAATCCTTTGTACGAAACCTAGTATGCAAGACAAATTTAATGGAAGAGATTCTCGCATAATCACTTCCTGTGACGACAATGTCATCAACATATACAACGAGGCCGGTAGAAGACTGAATGATCACATTTGCTCATTTTCAGCCCAAACCCCTGAACTAGCTCACTGAACTTGCCAAACCAAGCCCGGGGACTCTGCTTCAAGCCATATAATGACTTATTCAAATGACAGGCTTTCACATACTCCCCCTGAGCAACAAAACCTGGTGATTGCTCCATATACACTTCCTCTTGAGGATCACCATGAAGGAATGCATTATTGTTATCCAATTGATGTAAAGGCCAATTTTGAGAAGCGACTAAAGAAATGAACAAGCGGACAGAAGTGAGTTTGGCAACTAAGAGAAAGTGTCTGAATAATCCACCCATAAGTCTGAGCATACCCTTTAGCCACAAGTCTGGCTTTAAGTCTGGCCACGGAACCATCTGGATTAACTTAACTGTAAAGACCCACTAACATCCCACTGGTTTCTTTCCCTTGGGTAAATTCACCAAATCCCACGTGCGGTTATCCTCTAAGGCATGTATTTCCTCAAGCATTGCATCGACCATCCAGGATGATTCAAAGCCTCATTCACTGTTTTGGGTATAGAGATGGAGTCTAGAGAAGCAATCATAGATCTAGATGTAGAGGATAAGCGGTCATAGGAAATAAAATTAGCAATGAAATATGTGGATTTGCAAGTCCGCGTACCTTTGCGAAGAGCAATAGGAAGGTCAAGGTTCTCTGAAGGTGCAGGCGAAGGAAGATCTGGTGATGAAGGAACTGGTGCAGGACATGTATTATTGGTCTCTCGCCTCCTCGAGTAAACTTGAACAATTGGCGATCTTGCTAACGCATACGAAGTAGGTGGTGAGAGTATAATAGTCGATCGATGCTCAATAGAAGAACTAGGAGGGGGAGGAACATCATCTGATTGTTGTGTCAAAGCATGGGCAACCTGATAGACTAGCCATTCATCTTCCTCCCTTGACTTGTACAAATTGGAGGTGCATAGAAAAATGGTGTAGTCTCTGAAAATACCACATCAGTTGACACCAAATACTTGCCAAGTTCAGTAGAATAACACAAATATCCCTTCTGAAGGCGAGAATAGCCCAAGAAGACACATTTCAATGCCTTTGGATCCAATTTGGTAACAAATGGTTGAACATCTCGAACATAACATGTGCTTCCAAATACCTTAGGTTCCGCTAGAAATAATGACTTATTTGGAAAAAGAACACTGTAAGATGTATTACCAACAAGCACCGTAGATGGCATGCGATTAATCAGAAGACAAGTCGTAGAGACCGCATCGACCCAAAACTATTTAGAGACCTTCATTCGGAACAAAAGTGCTTGAGCTGTCTCAAGTAGATGCCTATTCTTCCTCTCAGCATCTCCATTTTGAGACGGTGTATCAACACATGAAGACTAATGTAGAATACCATGTTGTCTCATGTAGGACTGAAATAGTTCTGACATGTATAGCGTTATCACTCCGTAGAATCCGTACTGAAGCATTAAATTGAGTTTTGACTTCAGCATAAAAGGCAAAACAGTGAGTAAACACTTCAGAGCGGCTCTTCATAAAATAAATGCAAGTCATTCGAGAGAAATCATTCACAACAACAACAACAACAACAAACCCAGTGTATTCCCACAAGTGGGGTCTGGGGAAGATAGTGTGTACGTAGACCTTACCCCTACCTTTAAAAGGCAGCGAAGCTGTTTCCGATAGACTCTCGGCTAAGGGAAGATAAAGGGAAGGGCCAATGACAAGCAAACCAATCGGAAAACAGGCGAAAACACACAATTATCACTAGCTAGTACAGTTAAAACCAAAGCGAAGGCAACCACAAGTAATAACAGAAGTTCAAAAAGGCGAAAAAACATAAAGACACTAAGTGGTGTAATAAAGCTGATGTACCAAAACAAAGACAAAGCTCGACTACCTAACCCTCTACTCTAATTCTCAACCTCCATACCTACTTATCCATGGTCATGTCCTCAATAAGCTGGAGCAACGCCATATCTTTCCCAATCACCTCTCCCCAATACTTCTTCGGCCTGCCTCTACCCCTCCGTTGGCCCTCCAAGACCAACCTCTCACACCTCCTCACTGGTGCATCTGTGCCTCTCCTCTTCACATGTCTGAACCATCTTAGTCTTCACAAAGATAACAAAATACTTATTCCCAGTTTTGGAAATAACGGAACATGGTCCCAAACATCAGAATGAACTAACTCAAAAGCTTACTCAGCCCGCTTATTAAACCTTGGACCTACCGAGCCCTGATTTCATATTTTGGTGAAGGAACTCTTTTGATTCATCGAAAATGTCACTTGGATCAGATGCTTTTGGTTCTAAAACTATGGTATCCAGTAATTCAAACCAAGTAATTACCACAAAAACATTAGTACGTAGTGCAACATGCCTCTTTTGATCCTCTTCTGTTCAGTTATAGGGCAAAAGACAAGGCGTTCAAGATCACTTAATTAAACAAGCTATGTATATTGAAGAGAAAGTTCGAGGAGAATGAGAAACGATCGATGCTCAATTGTCTAGCCTCTTATGGAACACTATTGATTCTAAATTAATGCCTTTGTTTCATCCATCCTAGACCTGCTTTTTAGTTTGGGAAAAGGCTCGTGCTCTATACACAAATGACATCTCTTGCTTTTATAATGTGATTTCTAGTTGACTAAACCATCGAACCCCTTCGTTTTCTAATATAAATAACACAAAATAACCATTCTCTAACTGCTAGGGACAGTAATGTAAATACATAAACATAGTAATTACTCCCTCCTTTTCAATTTATGTGTCTTACTTTTCTTTTTAGTGTGTTTCAAAAAGAATGTCTCTTACTATATTTAGTAACTCTTTAACTCCAACTTTCTACGTGGCATTATTAATAGTTTAATACCACAAGATTCAAGGATATTTTGGTACATTATACACGTCTTTAGTTTAAGACCACAAGGTTTAAAATTATTCCTTACTTCCTTAAACTTCGTGCCTAGTTAAACCAAGACACATAAATTGAAACGGGAGGAGTAACAAATAAACACAATTACATTTAGGCTATATTTCATCCCTGCCTCTACGGTTGTACACCCTAGTAGCTTGAGCATGTTTAACAAAGCCATAAACCAAGTATTACTCCATCGTATTCAACAACTCGAAGATTAGAGATCCACAAAATACCATGACAATTTCTTAGTGGTAATCAAGTTGCACTGCATATTTGCGACAAATGCTATATAAAGATGCTTTTAGAGAACCAAACATATCAAAATCAACTCTCATTTTCGTAGAGAAAAGAAAAACATTGGCGCTAGATTTATAAAACAAATGACCAACAATAACAACTATGCCTCAATCCCAAACAAGTTAGGGTTGGCCATATGAATCCCCAAAGATCATGTATCTCCATTTAAATTCATCTTAGGCCAACACTATACAAAATAAAATTGTAAAACCAAAAAACCAACTGGCTAAACCAAATGATCAACTGACAAAAATACTCAACAAGTCACTTATAAGCCACTGGATTAGCTGCATAAGCAACAAGCCTGATACATATAACACGCATGCAACCAACCAAGGAAAAGTGTTATGGGTGTTACTTGGTTAAACTTCTACCTAGATAAACGTGCAAATACAATAGTGTGATATGAGTGTCCTACATATACATTTATCCAAATACCTGAACTTAACCTTTGTTTTTCACACATTCTCCCTTTTCTCTTATTTCTTATCAAAGATGTTAAACCCTTCTGATAATAAGCCCAAGCACACACTAAGACTACTACATGTACAGTTTAGCTAAAGTCAAGCCAGATGGTGGGAGCTACAAGAAGAGGCCAAAAATATAGTTCTTCAAAAAACTGACTCTGGATATTTGGATTTATTACAAAGATTAAGTACCATTTCTGGCCCACAGTTCCGTTGAAGCAATAAAAATTTGCACATAGAATTCTCAGATAACAAGAAAATAATGTTTCATATCATCAATCAAAAGGACCAGGGAGAATACTCAATAGGCAGCTTTATACCTTTTCCACTTTTGTAGCCATCTCATATTCAAAATGGTTTCCCATACTCAAAGCTGTCACCTATTCAGAGCAGCAACACGGAAAAGAAGACAATTGAGACAAAAATATATCAATGAAAAAAGAGCAAATTAGTCACGCACCAAGATATACAGCATTAATCAGTTACTTATGTTTGACAAATATTTTAACATGCACACATATCTATACATTTGGGCTCCCATTTCCATGTGCAAATCTTTTTGGCAAGATATTTCCGTGGCAGAGATGTGGTTCACCCATTAGCGTCGAGGTGAATTATCTTCTGGTTTGGTTCCACCCCTAACTGTTTGCAGCCAAGGTCATTATAGCAAACAAAGTGATGTGGCTCACAAGCTAACTTGTAACATTTCATTAATAAGTTAATGTCTTAGGAAAGAGAAATGGCTCATGAAAACTATGGGATATCTAACTTTAGTGAAGATACAAAGGGGAAATATCTTTGAATGAAATAAAAGATCATGCAGTCACGAATAAGATTGGGAAAATAATGGTAAATACCGAATTGCCATGATGGTAAATCGTAGGACTATCATCGGGGCCCCAGCCATATTGAATCACCATCCTTGTAGCTATCTGTCACAAAATACTATGAATTATTGGGTCCCAGTATCCACAGCAAAGTATATGAGAGAACTACAGTTCAAGAGGGCAAGAAGAGAATTTTACAACCTCTTGTGCCTGCTTCAGCTCTGATGAAGAAAGAATGTTTTCTTCCCCAAATGGAAGCAATAGCTGCGCCGCAACATAAGAACCAAAGCAAAAAACTAGTCTTTTTTCAAGATATGATCTTGATTCAACATTCCCACTGATAGAACCTTCATTTTTAGCTTTGGTGATCTTAGTACACCCAATTCCCTGAAATCAGCAGGCCCAAACTTTGTAAAAGTCAACATCTTCGGGACAGACCAAGCACACAATCCAATGAGGCAATCTTTCATGGGTTTAGGTAGGAACATTAGTTGTAAGCACACCTCTCTGTGTCACTATGAGAAATCACCAAAAGGTATAGGGAAAAAATACATAAGGAGTTAGTGGGAGTGTCAGCGTACAACTCACCCAACCTTATGGAAGACTGATCAAACCACAAGGGCAGCAAAGGAGATTCGTCTTGAAAAAGAAGGGAGGATAATGCAGATAGATAAACACCCAAAGAGGGTTTCAGTACTAAATATGCTCTACTCTTACAAGCTAAGTTGCTCCGACACGGCAGTTTAGGTGCCGCACCCGTGTCGACACGACACTAGTATGGATGTGGGTATGGGATCCGTACCGGATCTGGTCAAATAATTTTGGGTTCTTTGACCACGACGGACGAAAAAATTAGAGACGAGATACAATTTGATTCCCGAAATCAGAATTTGAAGAAAATAGCATACCTTATGTAGGAAATCAATCATTTACTTATCTACAACTTGAGAATAAAATAGAAATTCACATTTTACAAGCTATACGTAAGTATTCCACAAAATTTCTCATAATTTAGAGTTTTTTTTTATTTTTTTGAATTATTTTAAGCCGGATCCTTGCACCCGTATCCATACTAGGATCTGTATCCCTGAATCTTAGAATTTACATTTCGAAGGATCCTATCTCTAGATCCGCACTCGTGTCGGACACCCGCACATGTGTCCGAGCAACTTAGCTTACAAGGGTAAAAAGAAAGTACATAAGCATTACAACAACAATAACAACACCTCTGTCCCAAACAAAGTCGGGGTCGGCGATATGAATTCTCACTTCTTTCTTCAAGCTCAACTCATATTATCATCATGCCAAAAATAAAATAATAATAGTGAAAATAAGTTTTATATAAAAGAAAAATAGTAACATTTAAAGCGTATCCCTAACTAGTAAGTTTCACCTATATGGATCGTTATCTTTCATTTTTCCTATTTTTAGCTAAGTCTACACTGGTTCCAAGAATTTGTAGGTCTAAACAGCTTCTTTTCATGTGATTTTAGGTCTACCTCTTCATATGGTCCAAATCTGCATCAGTGTCAACCTCACATAATGTGTTTGTCGAAGAGAGACAGATCTTGGATGCAGCTTTGATGGCAAATGAAGTTGTGAACTCTATAAGGAAAAAAGGAAAACGTGAGAAGGCTTTTGATCATGTTAATTGGGAGTTTCTGGATCTTTTAATGGTGAAGATGGGGTTCAGTGAAAGACGGAGAAGATGGATCAAGGTTTGCATTTCCACTGTCACATTCTCTGTTCTTGTCAATGGTAACCCTTGTGGGTTTTTTGGTAGCTCAAGGGGCCTCAGACAAGGGGACCCCTTATCCTCTATGCTATTTATTCTAGTGATGGAAGCTCTGAGCAAGATAACGGATAGGGCAGCGGGTGGTGGTTATTTGAGGGGTTTCACGGCTTTGATTAGGGAGCATAGCACTGTAAGGGTTTCAAACTTGCTCTTTGCAGATGACACATTAGCTATTTTTTTGTGATGCAGATATTAACCGGCTGACATACTTGAAACAGGTTCCTAAGTGGTTTCAGATCGTGCCAAGTCACAAAATCAACATCTGCAAGTGTGAGATTTTCCTAGTGGGCGAGGTAGACAACATTGAAGAACTAGCACAAGTATCAATGGTAAGGTGGACTCTTTACCTACGGGGCTACTACATACTTGGGCTTGCCTCTATGTGCTTCAAATAAGGATCTCGCAGTGTGGAATCCTATTATTGAAAGGGTTGAACGGAGATTAGCAGGGCCAAAGCAATACTTGTTGAAGGAAAAGACGTACTCACTAAAAGCAATTTATCAAGTATTCCCACTTACTATTGTTCTTTGTTGCAAGCACCGGGGAGAGTCACAGGAAAATTGGAAAGGCTTCAAAGAAATTTTGTATGAGATGTTGTAGATGGCACCGGAAAGATCCACCTGGTAAATTGGGAGGTTGTCACAACACCAAAGTGGGGTGTAATAGGGGTGAAAGATCTTAGGGTGTTCAATAGAGCTCTATCGGGAAAGTGATTATGGAGATTTGGGATGGAGGAGCACGCCTTATATGAGGGAGGTAGTAGTTGAGAAGTATAGTTTTATGGGAGGGGATGGAGAACTAGAACTATTACAGTTCCATTTCGGTGTAGCATGTGGAGGAGCATAATGAAGGGGTGGGAGGACATCAATGGTCATCTTTAGGGTTGGGGATGGGAGAAGAATTAGCTTTTGGAATCACGAGTGGTGCGGGAAAGACTCATTGAGGATTTCATTCCCTAATCTGTACAGAGTTTCGAACCAAAAGAAGTTGACATTCCATCAGATTCATAGGGAGTATGAAGGTGAAGTACTTTGGGATCTCACGTTTAGGAGAAATCCACAACACAGGGAGCTGGGGGAGTTTCAAAGGTTAGTGGAGTTACTTTACAAGCAAATCAGACCTCACTTTAACAATGACTCGTGGAGATGGGCGCTAAGAAGTGATGGTTTGTTCACAGTCAAATCTTTCTACCAGAGTTTGCTAGAGAAAAGAGACGCGCTTTCCACATTTATCAATATGGATTCCTAGGGCACCTAGGAAGGTGCGCTTTTTGCATGGTTGGCAACAAGGGGAGCGATTCTGACAGCTAAGAATCTGTGTAAGAGAAGCATTACCTATGTCATTTGGTGCTACATGTGCAAACGTCCGGGTAAAAAAGTTGATCATCTAGTGGTGCATTGTAGAGTGGCATCGGGTTTGTGGAGGGTGGTCCTAAATTATTTTGATGTACAATGGGTGATGTCAGGTACTATTAGAGATGTGTTGCACATGTAGGCTGGTAGACATAGTAGAAGAAGACAATATACGGGACGTATGGAGAGAGAGAAATAGGAAAGCTTTGAGGGAATTGAAAATGATTTTGTACACTCGAGGAATAGCCTTTGTCTTTGATTGCTTTTTGGTGCACCTTGAAATTCCCACTTTTATAGATGATTGAGTGTCTTCGGTAGAAAATCATACTTTGTTGTAGATTCTCTTACTTTTTGGTATACCTTTTGTATACGGGAGCTTTCCCATTTTTTTAGTAATACCATTTACCTTATCAAAGAAAGATATGGCCAAACCATCTCAACGTTAATTTATCACAACTCTCTCTCCATATTCATCCAAACGAGTAAACCAATTATTGAAACTCACATGTATGGAAAATGTCCAAGAACGTAATCATCAAGTTATACTCTCTCTGTCCCATTTTATGTGACGGTATTTACTATGCGCGAAGTTCAAGAAATAAAGAAAGACTTATTAGAAAATCGTGTCACATAAAATGAGAAAGAGGGAGTATTATGTACCTTAAAGAAAAGCACGACATAAAAACATATTCACCCAACTAGAACTCAAAGGCTCAAGGATTGCTTCTTGATGCGAAGGCTTATATAACAGTAAAATAAGAAAAATGTAGAGAATAGTAGAAAATTTCTATTCCCTTTTCCTTCTATTTTTGGAGGCAGAAGTTAAGAGAATAAAATGCTCATACAACTGATAGGGGTGTAGTTACTGAGTAGTGAGCAACTGAACGTACTCCCTTTTATTTTCTTTTGATAAAGTAAATAACCTTGTTCTTTTAACAAGAAAAGTAAATGATTTTATTAAAGTTGGGAGAAGAAAACTCATGTATACAAGTATACCAAAAAGTAAAGAACCTATACCAAACAATTGAACATACTCTTGTAAGAGGTTAGCACTAATTCTGATGCACTAATTCTGATGAAACAAACCACATCTTCAGGCAATGAACAGATATTGCAGTAAATATTACATGTGTAGATGACATTTTTCTAATCATTAGAATCACCAGGTATTGATAATTGATAACAAATCTAAATATGACGCTTTGATCCATAATGGCCAGCACGCTAATTGGTGGTCATAGAAACATATCTGGAAAACTAAAATTCCATATAAGGTGGCCTGTTATGTGTGACCTGGTAGCAAAAGAAGCTTGCCTGTCACAGGAAAATTTAAAGAGAAGGGGGATTAATCTATGTTCAAAATGTAATTTGTGTGGGAAGAAGCTAGAGAACAGCAGCCATTTGTTTTTGCATTGTGGAATAACTGATCAACTTTGGCAGCTTTTCCTAAACGTGATAGGCATTACATGGATAATGCCAAGATCAACGAGGGAGTTGTCGGCATGTTAGAACAGTGTCAGACACAAGACAGATGGAAATTAATCCATGCATGCATATGGTGGACTATCTGGAAGGAAAGAAACTCAACATGTTTTAAAGATAGATATAGTTCTACCCAGAAGATCAAGATGAATTGCATTTTACTTTTTCATTTTTGGTGTAAAGAAACTTATACAGATGATTCAGTCTCTATTTTAGAAGCTTTAAAATCCTTGTAAGAAGAATCAATGATGAACTGGAGCTGTCCTTTGTTTTGTAAATTTAGCCTCCAGCACTGCCTTTGTGCTGAAGTTTATAGCTTCTGTTACCTTTTTCTCAACAAAAAAAAACAAAGCTCTCCTAATTAATCTGTGATCTCCGATCTGGTTCCAAAGTAAAATTTGTGTAGAACAAACAACAAAAAGGTTGGCCACCATTAATCAAGTGCTGACTGATAACTTATTTTCTTTTTGTGACACTTAGTGCGACTCTTACAGTCTTACTCTGTAGAACCATCACTTCTCTCATAGATCAATAACATCAGTCCGATAAATTTCTCTTGCTTTCTCTTTTAAGAAAAATTACAAAGATATAACTACAATCATACTTAAAAAAAGCTACTTCTAAAGAAGAAACAGAATATGGTACCTCCCACGAGAAAGGCTCAAGCCACAGATTATCCACAATATCGAAGTTTGGTAGAAGAAGAGCAATTAAACTCCGACCGGCAGCCCAAACAGCATGCGGAAACTTTGTTTCCATTGTCCACTACAAACAAATTAAATGAAAAGTCAATTTCATGTTGTATCTCACATGAAGAGACAATAAAGATGCTTTCAGTATAGGCAGTTTTAGTTCACTATTAACTAAAGATAACTCAGCTCTACAAATTATAGAGCTGGTTAATCTTTTTTGCCAGTAGTTCACAAAGTTACTGAACTACTAACAACGAGACTGAAGAATGCACTTGAAATCCCTGGCGCTTGAAATGCTTTTATTGATGAGAGGCAGATTCTTGATGTAGTTTTAATTGCTACTGAACTAACTGGTTCAAGAGAATTGAATGAAAGTGCTGGTAATAGATTTGGAAAAAAGGGTAATGAGTCACCAAACGGAGTTCATTGATCGAAAGATGGGTTCCACGAAAAATGGAGAAGCTGGATTAGTACTGCATATCTATTGTCAGATTCTCAATCTCCATTAATAGTCTACTCGCTTTCTTTGAAAACTCTAAGGGTTTTAGTGATGATGCAATATCACTTATGCCTCTGTCTTTGTGATGGGAGGCATAACCCTAGATAAAGCAGCAGAAGGTGGATATCTGAAGGGCCTCCAACCAGGACATGGGCAGGCTAAGTCTAGCAATAGCTCACCTCCTCAACTATGATACCTTACTTGTTGTGTGATGCTGTTGAAAATGAACAGATAAGAGTACACTGCTAGTAGCAAACAGTCTTGAGGCTGGTTAATCTAAAATGAATGTGACATCATCCAAGTTGGAAAGTGCAGTTTAACCACTTAAACAAAACCATGGGTTCAAGCTGAGTTAAACCCCACCCATCTATTTTGATCTTCCTTTGCTGCCTCAAAGATGTTCAGGTGTGAAATCCATTACTTCATAAACTTAAGATTAAATGGACTTCTGGCAGAAAAAATATTAGTACAAAGGAGGTAAAGCTGTCACTATTTAACAAGCACCTTAACTTGTTTACCTACCTACTATGTCCCTTTCTGTATTCTTGCTTAACTGGCAAAAGAATTTATCTGCTCTAGAATTTCAGTAGCGGTGGAACCTAGAGGTTCAAAAAAAGTAGCATTTGGTTGGAATAAAGGTGATTGACTTAGAAGGTTAATATCATTTCTCAAATCTTTCTAAGTTTTACTATTCAGTATACCCCTGCAAAGTGCCTAAGGATTTCATCAAAGGATGATGCCAAGGAGTGTTCAACAACCGTTTTGTGATTGTCATAATTCTATTGATGTTATGGGAAACCCCCATATACAAAACATAGAGGACCTAGAGAAAATATGACTATCTTCTATAGAGATGGAGGAGAAATGTGAATCAAAGAGCATAGAGTTTGGTCCCTCAAGTAACAACGAAGTGATTAATGTTTATACATATAGCACACACGATATTCCATCATGTAGAGATGATTCACTAGCTTTTTTAGAGCTTCAATAAAATCACCTATGAAAAAGAGTGTCTTTTGATGTTCACAGATCAATAAGACAAGATCATGTGCATCATAAAGAGAGCAGAAAATTGACAATTTTGTAATATTAAGGTGGAGAGTTCTCAAAGTCACATGTACCAGCACAGAAAACTCGGTTTAATGTGCCATTGAATCACTTTTTGGATAGTGCTGGCTGCAGCAAAACAGCTGCTGTTTTGGAAAGTGAAGGAAGTGGAAACCAAGGGGGCAGCACCGGGAAAATAGCCCAACATGTACTCATGCATGGGCATTAAGGAGCAATTGGAAGGCTTCCCTTCCATCTTCCGAAACTTTGCTCTTCCTTTCCTTGTTTGCCCTAACTTTCATGAATTTCCCATGATACTGCAGCCTTGTACAGACGATTCATTAAACTTTACGTCTATGGTCGTTGTTAGAGGCTTCTCTACTTGTTACATTCTTATCATCAGCTTACGTGATCAGACGGAAACTGAGAATCCTACAAAAATAATTCCAGGAGAAATGCCCTAATGATCTAGAAAAGACAAAAAGGTAATGACAAAAAAAGTTGTGCTATTACGATATAGTGAAAGGATATTACAATCTAGGGAAAGGTTTCATTAGGAACAATCATCACTCGAATAAAAAATATATAATTTAAAAACTGAACGTATAAATGACAAGACAATAAACAGGAACACCTAACTGGGGTCAAGGAAATACAGTAGCGTACAGGATGTCTAATCATTCATCAAAAAATGCATACTGATAAAGGAAATAAAAATGGGAATGCTTACATCAAGAGGAGGATTTAGCAATTCGATTCCGTTGCTTATTTGACCATAAGGCTCCATTAGATCAACAACACTTTCTAGATCCTCTTTCGTTAATGTCAATCCAAGATGATTCACCAGCATTCTGCTTAATTGCTTTACAGCTTTGGTCTTCCTTAACCATTTCGGGACAAGGCTGCTGAAGGTCTGCAGAACAGCAAACCCAATTATCCAGTTGAGAAAAATGGCTAGTGAAGAGGACAAAGGTAAAAATTCTTCTTTTTGTACGCGGAGAATCTCAGTGATGAAGCTTTTGAGAGATGTTATGGAGTATATACATAACAATTGAAGAAAACAAGTGTATTGAAAAACAGCCCATGGTAGCTGAACATGGTGAAACTCTACATTTTACAGAGAAACTTCATCAAGTTCAGCTTCCCAATCCTTTGCAAACCGCTCAATGTAGCAGTGCTTGATTTTTTTCATCATAAGATTGGTTTTTACGGAATGCGTAATTGTTTTTAAAAAAAAAGAATTGATTTTAAGAGATTTGTTCTCATGAAGTTCAGGATTTTAGATGTATATCATCACCAGAATGACGATGTCATGGATGTGCCCTTTGACCATGTTCTTGAAATTCACAGAATCTTCAAATACATGTCTAGTCTAGAAAAGAGCAATGAGATCCATTGTCATCTCATCTTCCCCCTTTTCTATTTCTCTCAGTAGCCTCGCGGATATCATCTTTTCTTGTTCGCCTTTAATTATGAGCTTTCAGCTTCTAACATAATGTCATGAGACTCCTAGGCAGCTGGAGCCAATTCTGATGCAGCAGGCTTTATAGGTTAGATAAGCGAGAATGTTACTACCACAACCTTTATAGACACTATCAGATTTTCATTTCAAGATGTAAAAAGCCCTATTAGTCTCCACGCTTTTAGAATAACTATTCACTGGAGATAATGTGTTAACAAGAAGTTCAAGCCCTATATTTGCAACATTATTCAAAGTATTACCATGACCACTATGTGCAAAGGAAAGTGAACAATGGACAACAGCATAGATGAATAAAGTATCTCATATTATAGGGAGCGAACATTAGAACAAAAATCAGTCTTTTCTAACGGAATGTGCGTTAGAATATGGAGGCGAAGCTAATTGACATCCTTTTATAGATGCTTTTTATAGTTTTCTCCATACCATACACTGAATGTCATGGTTATCAAAAACCTTTAGGGTAGATTGCATATTTTCATAAATCAGTCCAATAGCTGCAAAATTTGAAAATTTAGCCAGTCAAAATTATTCAAGAGTACACATAATGTCGTGATTTAGAAACAATAGGCAACAACCTATGCAATTCACACCCCCGAAGCAAGAAGATGGGAGCAATTACTTTTTCAAACAATGACCCAAAGCATAATGTGTTTCTATCCAGACTCAGATATACCGGTCCTCTAAACTATGTATTTCATGGTTATTAGGAAAGAAAACAGATGCTCATAATTCGCCAAGTTTATTCTCTTTTACTGGGTAGACTTGGACAACCAATAAGAGTATGCATTTTATTCAGGAGCTCCACTCAAATTAAATATTTTGCATTATTCCAACTGTGAGAAAGCACGGGAGAAAATATTATTGATTGTTATTCTATGTTACAATGAGCCCTATTTATATGTATACATAACATATAACCTGCTCTTATTACATAAGGGACTAGGACTAATTACATATATCCACATAACTATTCTAACACTTCCCCTCAAGCTGGTGCATATAAATCATATGTACCGAGCTTGTTACATATGTAGCTAATACGAGGACCAGTGAGGGACTTGGTGAAAATATCTGCAAGTTGATCATTTGACTTCACAAACTTTGTAGCAATATCTCCCGAGAGTATCTTTTCTCTAACAAAGTGACAGTCAATCTCAATGTGTTAAGTTCTCTCATGGAACACTCGATTTGACGCAATATGAAGAGCAGCTTGATTATCACACACAAGTTCCATCTGGCTGATCTCACCAAATTTCAACTCATTGAGCAATTGTTTGATCCAAATTAGCTCACATGTCGCCATGGCCATTGCTCGATATTCTGCTTCTGGACTAGACCGAGCAACCACATTCTGTTTCTTGCTCTTCCAAAACACCAAATTACCTCTTACTAAGACACAATATCCAGACGTACAACGTCTATCGGAAGGTGATCCTGCCCAATCAGCATCTGAGTATCCAACGATCTGCTCATGGCCTCGATCCTTAAACAATAAACCTTTGCCTGGAGCTGATTTTATATACCGAAGAATGCGGACAACTGCATCCCAATGACTATCACTGGGAGAATCCATAAACTGACTCATAATACTCACAGGAAAGGAAATGTCAGGTCTAGTGAGGTAATTTAATTTACCAATCAGCTGCCTATATCTTGCAGGATCGCTAAAAGGCTCCCCTGTCCTGGCAGAAGTTTAGAATTCGGATCTATCGAAGTGTTAACAGGTCTATAACTTGTCATTCTAGTCTCTTCAAGAATGTTTAAGGCATACTTCCGTTGTGAGATCACAATACCTGAGCTAGACTGAGCGACCTCAATACCCAGAAAATACTTTAATCTGCCCAGATCCTTAGTCTGAAAGTGCTGAAAGAGATGTTGCTTCAACTTAGTAATACCATCCTGATCATTGCCGGTAATAACAATATCGTCAACATAAACGACCAGATAAATATAGAGATTTGAAGCAGAATGCCGATAAAACGCAGAGTGATCAGCTTCACTAGGGTCATGCCAAACTCCTAGATAACTGTGCTGAACTTACCAAACCAGGCTCTGAGGAGACTACTTTAGACCAGAAAGTGACCGGCGCAAGCGACGTACAAGGCCACTAGACTCACTCTGAGCAACAAAACCAGGAGGTTGCTCCATATAAACTTCATCCTCAAGGTCACTGTGAAGAAAAGCGTTCTTAATGTCCAACTGATAGAGAGGCCAATGGCGAACTGCAACCATGGATAGAAAAGGGCGGACTGATGCTATTTTAGTGACGGGCAAGAAAGTACCACTGTAATTAGGGGTGGCAAACGAGCGGGGTGGGGCGGATATGGGACGGGTCGAAAACGGGTAATGAAAAAACAGATAAATTATCCAACCCGACCCACATTTAATACGGATAAAAAACGGATTAACCGGTGGATAATATATGTATACATGGCTTCATGAATATGATCACTTTTGGGAGAATTTCTAGTCTCCCAATTTGAGGTTTTACAAATGTAAAAGTTAAATTCATTGGTTATCCATTTTCTAAATGGATAATATGGTTCTTTTCCATATTTGACCCGTTTTTAAAAAATTGATTATCCAACCCATTTTTTAGTGGATTATATGGGTGGTTAATTGTTTTGCCACCACTAACTGTAATCGAGCCCATATATCTGAGTATATTCTTTGGCAACAAGACGGGCCTTAAGTCTATCAACCTGACCATTCGGACCAACTTTGACTGTATAAATCCAACGACACCCAACAGTAGATTTACCTGAAGGCAGAGGAACAAGCTCCCAAGTACTACTCGTATGTAAAGCAGACATCTCGTCAAGCATAGCATGTCGCCATCCTGGATAAGACAGTGCTTCACCTGTAGACTTAGGGATGGAAACAGAGGAAAAAGAAGATACAAAAACATAATGGGGTGATGACAGACGATGATAATTTAAACCGACATAATGGGAATTAGGATTAAGTGTGGTCCTTATACCTTTTCGAAGTGCAATTAGCTGACTAGGAGGAGACAAGTCCGTAGCAGGAGCAGGGTCAAGTGCAGGACGTGAATCAGCCGGAACTGATGCTGGGGCGGACGACGCTGATCTGGGGATCTAGGAGGAGCAACACTAGACTTCTCAACGGTTGGTATGGTACGACCTCTGTGGCTGAGGGCATAGGAGGAGCTATAGTAAACTCCTCAAAAGTCGGTATAGTAAACTCCTCGTAGTCAGAAGAGGTAAAGTAAGGTCTAGACTCAAAAAATGTGACATCAGCTGACATAAGGTACCTACGAAGATCATAAGGTACCTACGAAGATCAGGTGAGTAATAACGATATCCCTTCTGAACACGAGAATAACCAAGGAAGAAATACTTGAGAGTACGAGGAGCTAACTTATCTTTTCCAGGGACTAAGTTATGAACAAAACATGTGCTCCCAAAAACACGACAGGGAAGAGAGTATAAGGGTGATCGGGGAAACAATATTGAATGCGGAATTTGATTCTGGATGGGAGATGAAGGCATCCGATTAATCAAATAACAAGCTGTAAGAACTGCATCTCCCCAAAAACACAACGGAACATGAGACTCAATGAGAAGTGTGCGAGCAGTCGTAATGAGATGCCTATTCTTTCTCCCAGCTACCCGATTTTGTTGAGATGTGTACGCACAAAATATTTGATGAATGATTCCATGAGAGTTCATAAACTGCTGAAATAGGGAAGACAAATACTCTAGGGTATTATCACTACGAAATGTGCGGATCGAAACCCCAAATTGATTTTGAATTTGAGCGTAGAAGGTCTGGAAAATAGAAAACAACTCAGATCGATTTTTCATCAAAAATATTCAAGTGCACCTGGAATAATCATCAATGAAATTGACAAAGTAGCGGAATCCCAAGGTAGAACTGACCTGACTAGGACACCAAACATCTAAATGGACTAAAGTGAAAGGTGACTCCGCTCGATTATCGGGACGCCGAGGGAAATGGGAGCAAGTATGCTTACCGAGCTGACATGACTCACACTCTAGAGTGGACAAGTGAGATAAACCAGGTACCATTTTATGAAGTTTTGACAAACTTGGATGTCCCAACCGTTTATGTAATAAATCCGGTGAATCGGTAATAAGACAAGTGTTGAAGGAAGACAAGATGTGAGTCCATGTGATTTAGCAAGAATAAGGTAATAAAGTCCATTTGATTCACACCCGGTACCAATGATCCGCCCCCGTACTACGTTCCTGTATAAAAACAAGGTCATCAAGAAATAAAACAGCACATTTAAGTGATTTGGCTAAGCGACTAGCGGCTATGAGATTAAAAGGACTACCGAGAACATAAAGAACTGAATCTAAAGGTAAGGAAGGAAGTGGACTTGCTTGACCTATTGCAGTTGCCACGGTTTGAGACCCATTGGCCATTGTGAATTTTGAAAGAGATTGAGAATATGAAATACTAGTGAAAAGAGATTTGTTACTAGAAATATGATTAGATGCACCTGAATCAATGACCCAAGAGTCGGGAAAAGAAGACGATTGAGAGAAAGAAGAAGACGATTGAGAGACACAACTCACGTTATTACCTGTTTAAGCTACAGAAGCTATCTCGGAAGGTATCTGCTTACGTTCTTTATACTGAAGGAACTCGATATAATCTGATAAAGACACCATATGAACATTCGAAATATAGGATCCAACGGTATTTGAGCCAAAAGCATCAAATCAGAGTGACATTATAATGGACTTAAGAGAGATCAAAGCCAAATATCTGGTGAAGATTACCAACAGTGATGAGATAACCTCAAATCAAGCAATTAGAAACTGTAACCAAACTTTTATAATGATCGGACACTGTTCCGATCACCAAACTAGAGTAAGTTGGTCTGATATTGTTAATCGAGCTTCAGAGTGCTGAAATATTTATGTTGAAGACCTTCGGTTGACAGACGCAACTGCTCTGACTTCTCAGATCTTCGTCGGAAGCAAATTGAAGTCAACAAAATAGTGGAAATTAAATGACTGAGGTCGGAATCAACTGACGACCTTAGTATGTGAACAAGGTGGGCGGAAAAGTGACCAGAACAGTGACGGACCACTGCTCGCGTCGGAAAACACTTTTTCGGTAACTGAAAAATCACAAAATCTTGAAGGGTCGAGTCGGAAAAGGCAGGCGACCAACCCAGAAGAAAAATCGGACTTGAAAGATGCCGGAAAACGACCTCACGCGCCGGCGCGTGAAGTGAAAACTCTCGGCGGAACCTTAACTGCCGGAGGTGCGTGGCGGCGCATGTGAAGTTTTCTGCAGGAGATCTTCACAGGGGTTTGGTCGCCGGTAATAGGAGAACCTTGTGGTGGTGTTGGAATTTGCACAAACTCCACTGAAACTCAGATTGATGTAAACAGCTGCTTAAGTCACCGGAAAATTGCACGGTGACAGTGTTTTGGATAGCGTGCGGTGACAAATAGCGACGAGGGCCCGCATCACTGAGGCGAGAGGCGCGCAGCGAAGCGCTCGCCTTTTTGATGTGAAGCGATAATTTATACAAAAAAATAAAATATTATATATATATATATAACTAAAAACTCAATAACAATAATATATTAATAAATATAACAATTCAAAAATTAAAAACTCAATAGATAGTCATAGTAGATTCATAAACTGAAAGTCTAAAACAAGAGACTCTACTGCCTCTGCTCTGCCTCTGCTACTTGCTCGAAAAACAGAGCACAAAAACAGACATATATGTTCTGTTTTTGCTGCACTGTTGCTCGACAAAAAACAGAGCAAAAAAAATAGAAAGAAGAAGAGAAGAAGAAAGAAAGGAAACTCGAAGAAGAAGAGAAGCATAGCTAGGCTGGGTCAACTTGGATGAAGAAGAAGACGGCAGAAACTTGCAGCTTTCAGATGAAGAAGATGACTGGGCTGGGTCGAAATCTCCTTGGGTCGACTTGGCTGCTCTGTTGTTAGAAGGTTGAAGAAGAAAGAAACTTCTGAGAGCTCAAAGTCCTAATCGCGACCTTTTACTTTTGTCTCTGCCCTTTTTCGTTTCTTTTTTTTAAAAAATGACGCTACAGTCGCATCTCGCTACACAGGCAGAGGCGAGCGCTTTCTGTAAATCGCAACGCAACAGAGAAGAAAAGCGACGACAGCTCGCATCGCTACGCCCCACGCTATTAGCGCTGAGGCGAGCACTATTAGCGCTGAGGCGAGCACTATTAGCGCTGAGGCGAGCGCTATTTACAACACTGTACGGTGACGACTGATTTCTTCCCGGATGTCGTTGGAATGACGCACAACGATAATTACCTCACCAATGCTCTGATACCATGTGAGAAAGCACGGGAGAAAATATTATTGATTGTTATTCTATGTACAATGAGCCCTATTTATATGTATACATAACACATAACCTACTATTACATAAGGAACTAGGACTAATTACATATATTCACATAACTATTCTAACACCAACAATCATATCCCGTGACTTAACTACCATACCCGGAAATATACTCTCACAGCCTATTTCAGGATACTGTTAGCTGTCTCTTTTTTTTGGATAAGGTAAGTGAAATGTCATTAAAAGGCATCACCAAGATGCAGAGATTACAAAAGAGGGAAGATGTCAGCTCTAATACCCAAAAAAGACTATCATAAGGCTAAGGAGCTGACAAAATCCAGAAACATATCAGAGTTATTTACAGGGGAAAGTTTCACCCAACTAAAAAGGTTAACCAAACATTTAGCTTTCAGGTGACTTCTAGGAGTTGAAATACCATCAAAACAGCTGCTATTTCTTTCAATCCAAATACACCAACTGTTAGCTATCTCATATTAGAAAGTCCTTTCACTAAGCAGTGCTGTTTTTATTTCAAGTTAAAGTAGTTTACTTCATCAAAATGGAAAATCGCGTTCACTCTACTTCTGGATCCCTTCACATTCAAGTATAGAAAACTTAATTATCTGAAGATGGCTGAATTAATACTGATATAATAAAAGTGGCTTTAGTAATACTTCTCGATGCAGTCGGTTCACTAATAAAAACAGGTCATACTGCTAACAACTATAAAAACTGACTGGCAAAACACTTTAAACTGAAGGGGAATGAGAAAGGACAGGCAACAGGCTTTGAACGCTGAAACCACCAGAAAACTCCATGAGAGAGCTGCCTGAAGCTCGAGAAAGCAGGAAACTTCTAAAAAACACAAATGAAAAGGGAACAAAGGGGAGCAAACCCTAGAGGAAGGACGAACAACCCGTGCTTTTCTGAAGCCACAGAATTTCACAAGCTGCCTGAAGCTTGAGATAAAACTTCGAATAAACAAGAAATGAAAGCGAAAGAAGGGCAGCGAACCCCTAGGGGAAGGTTGTAAGACCTGGGTTCTTCTTCCTTTAGGCCACAACCTAGGCAGCAAGCTCCTAATGTGTTTGCTAGCAATCTTAATAGGGAGGTGGGCCTTATGGGGTCACAAAATCAGGTAAATACAAGGAGAAAGAAGGTATTAGGATTGTAGAAACTAGAAAGGGAGGGATGAAGAAGGAGCTTCAAGGACAGCCTTTAAGGGCAATAATTGGGGGCAGTTGTCAAACTCCATGTTTCAAAGAGATGCTTCAGTTGGAGTTAGCTGGGGGTAATGAGGTGGGATAGGGGGTTGCAAGGGAAAAGGGATGGAGTTACGGGAGCAGCATAACCACCATGCCTTTCGACCTCCGGCGAGCAAACCCCAACAAACCACTCCAGGAGACTCACCTCCATGTGTTGTCAAGTAGCCTCCCAAAGTTCCAACGCCGTCGATGCGTCAGATCCACATGTCGGATGCGTGAAGCCTTGTCTGTCCATCTTCTGAAGCAAATCTCTTCTCCTTGGAGGTTGGCCAGTGATTCCTTGTCACCACATCCAAATTCCAACTGCCGAAGCCCTAGTCCAGTGACCCCAATCAACCATATCTTTTCATTATATTCTTTTTTACTTTTTGGTATATTCTTTTATATGGGTGTTTCCCATCATTAATAAAATTATTTTACCTTATCAAAAAAAAAAAATCCAATTACATTCTTGATTAAAAAAATGATTCAATTGCATTTCAGCTTTTTTTCTTGATGCCTACACATCGTTAAAGTGCACATAATATGCCCTATTTTACATAAGGAGTAATTAGTGCACTTAATGTGCCCTTGTTACATAAGGAGTAATTTATAAACTGTATTGGCATGCAAAGCAAAAACAAAATGCCACGGAGGGAGTACTAGGCAAGTTATAGTAAAACATGCAGTGGACTAACATTTGACTCCCCAAAGTGAAAAAGATAAATCCTAATTACAGAAGCATAACAACCAATAGTGGAAGAGGAAATGTGCACAGATAAATATGCTGGAAAGGAGCTTGAAGTACATGCTGATACAGTGCAGTAATTTAGCTAGTATTGGCAGTAATTACCGCAAACCAGCTGCAGTGGGTCATAAGCTCATCTATGTCCAGGAATTTGCTTCGAAAGGCACTACCTTCCAAGGCCACGGGAACAAGTTTTAGTTCACTTGGACGCAAAAGAGCTGTTTTCTCTGCGACCTGTTAGGCAAAGTAGCAGTTTTATAAAATATCAGTACTAAATTTGACAAAGCTCTTCTGCTCTGCATTTAACATATAACAACAATAACTTCTAAACAAGTTGAGAACAGCAGAAGAAAGCAAAGCATAATCAACATAAGATTTGCAAAGAATCACTAAGTTGTGACACTGAAATATTTAATACAAATCATGCAAAACTACCAAAATAGGTTTAAATTATCGCTGCTGAAAGACTTCCACAAAATTGTAATCATTTCTAGTTCAGATAATCAGGTATCCAAGTCAACAATATTTAAAATACATCATCATCCCCATGCATGATCTAGGTTGATTCTCATGCCCCATATGACCAAGAAGCTTCTCAAATTAGTAAGGAGCTGTCTAAGAACTGCTTCCAGAGTTTACTTATCAAAAAAAAACTGCTTTCAGAGTTTGAAGTAGCCTGAGCTTCTCTTTAATTCAATAAACTTGAAGGGCCTATATGATCNTGATTCTCTGACAAAAATGATAATTGATGAGCTCTACAAGAGTAGAGTCTGCAGACCAAATAAGTGCACCTTTCTCCAATCTACAAAATCTATAAGTTCTTCATCCATAGTTCCTTTTGCAGCTATCGTAAGTATCTTTTCTCTTTCTGCTTGAGTAGGCCGCTGAAGACGGAATATCCTATCCATCCGACCAGGACGTTGCAAGGCCTCATCGATTTGCTTGAGATTTCTTGTAGTAGCCATCAAGACCACACCATCCTGTTTTTCAAACCTGCAACATAAGATGGTATGAGAGAACAGTAAGAAACTAAACATGAAGATGCATTTATTATTTATTTCAATCAACTTAGATTATGCTTTGACCAATTACAAGGTAACAATGACCTGAAGTATGTCCTAGTTACAGTTTACAATACGTGAGAATCCTAGAACAAAATCAAGCACAAAACTTATGTCCTTGCTTGCAACATAAACGTTTTGGATATATTATCTAAAAACTATTACTACAACAAATAAGGAGATCAAAATTTGTTTGTCCTAAGCAAGATCAAGTGTGACAAGTTTATTTCCTGCTGGTATAAACAAATTGGCATTCCTTACATCATAGTGGCACCACTTATTTACAGGCCTGCAAGTTTTGCAGACAATTGAATAGAATTTTTTTTTAAATCCTCTGAGCACCAACAGGGCCATGAATTTACTAATATGAGTGCGGATTAGCCTGATTTTCCAAAATATCAAGGAAGACACAGAATGCATTTCACCGGCACAGAGAAAACAAGGAAGACACAGAATGTACTTTCCAACTAGCTCATGAGGTGAGGGATCACAGACAACACCATTCACCCACGTGAGACTCTACCTGAGTATAAACTGCATTATTATATCTAATACTGATGAAGAATGCATTTCACCGGCACAGAGAAAACAAGGAAGACACAAAAGCAGGATGATGATGAAAAAAGAAAAAGAACATTATGTCTTAATATGATGTAATGATAAGAAGACTAGAAAAGGGAGTAATGACCAATGTAAGAACACTTGTTATATGAATTAGAATGTTTACTTCTTATTACAATTTGTTTCAAGGAAATTCAATGGAGAATTTCACGTAGCTAGATGAATACTAAAGTTACTCTTATAAGGGTAAGGCATTGTTTCGTTCATCATTGTAGGTTGCTTGCTTGGAACATAAAATCTGAACTCCATCTAACTTTTTGGCATGAAATTGGCGAAGATAATCACCCAAAAGAATGGACATACCTCATTGTAGGTGTATGCTGTAAACCTAAATCAAATAGGTTACCATGTTCCTTCTTTACCAGTTTAAACTATAGATGATATGGTAGACACAATTCAATTTGGTATCAAAGTGGCAGAGGCCTTATGTTCGAGTCTCACCACAATCCATCAACAATAGATGTGCTGGGCTCAAGAAAAAGAATTAGGTTTGTTGATTAGCACAATTCAAGGAGATTTGATTATATTTAGGAGATTGTTGATTAGCAGCATGATTTCAGGAGATTTGATTATATTTAGGAGATTGTTGATTAGCAGCATGATTTCAGGAGATTTGATTATATTTAGGAGATTTGATTTTATTTAGGAGATTTGATTTTATTTAATTTTATTTGATTTGATAGCTGGATTGATTGTATAGATTTATTTTAAATCCTTAATTAGCATTGGGAGCTTTGTATAAATTCCCTTGCTCATGGGATATATAAACACACAGAAAAACAAGAAGACTTTTCTTCTTCTCAAAATCTATATGGTATCAGATCCATTGCTGCCTTTTTTATGTGAGTTATCTCCATCGCAGCACTAGGTTTCGTTTTTATCAAAGAGGTCGAGTTTTCTCTATATTGGTAGTTGTCCGCAACACAAACTCCTTCTGGTCAGTTTTGTTTTTGGAATTTTATTTTCTATTGGGGTTGCCGAAACATTCTGAATCTATCTCTACCAGTATTGATTTTTCCGTTCACCGGAGTTAAGGTTCCGTCGAGACAGATTTGGTTTCCAGCGAGACGAATTATTTTTGAGCAATTTTCTTCAAATTTCCTTCTGATTGGGCAAAATTATGGAGACATTAAAGGAGACGATTTCTGGAGAAATCTTGTCTTCGGTTGAAATTCAGCTTCTCCATCGCCTCCTAGCCAAACTTGACTCCGCTAATGTTGTCACATCCAATTATGTGCAATCAGGTACTGCCTTTGCTGCTCATCTTAATTCTTGGATTGTTGATTCTGGTACAAATAGACACATGACAGGCTCTTTAAAAAGCATTCAAAACTATTCTCCGGGTCCCAAAGGAGATAAGGTTAAAATAGCCAATGGTTCTTTAACACCTATCTCTGGAACAGGTTCTGTCGTTTGTACTCCTAATATTAAACTATCATCTGTGCTCCATGTCCCTGAGTTCCCTGTCAATCTTTTTATCTATTAGTGTCATCACCAAAGCTCTAAGTTGTAAAATGGAGTTCTTTCCCGACCATTGTATTTTTCACGATCTTCAAACAGGGAAAAACATTGGTTGTGGTAGATTGCGTGATGACTTGTATATATTAGATGGAATTCAAAACTCTGGTCAAGCCTTTTTTGGGAAAAGTAAGGATGTCAACCAAGAAATAATACAGCGGCATAGACGGTTAGGACACTCATCATTCTTTGTTTTGATAATAGTATATCCCGATTTGTTTTCAAGGACTCGATTTGAACCTTTGCTCTGTGATGCGTATGAATATGTCAAGCATACTAAAAACTCTTATCCTGTGAGTGATAATAGAAGCACAACTCCGTTTATGACTATTCATTCTGATGTATGGGGTCCTACCCAGACTGTTTCTTTATCTAGCAGTTAATGGTTTGTTACTTTCATTGATTGCTACACTAGGATGACTTGGGTATATTTGTTAAAAGCCAAAAGTGAAGTTTTCTCTTGTTTTTAGTAGTTTCATAAAATGATTTGTACTCGGTATGATACCAAAATAAAAATCTTGAGAACTGACAATGGCAGCGAATACATGGATAAAAGATTTGGTGCTTATTTGGAGTCCAATGGGATCGTCCATCAGACTAGTTGTCCTCATACTAGTGCACAAAATGGGGTCACTGAAAGAAAAAATATTTATTAGAAGTAGCAAGATCTCTGGCGACTGCCTATCTTATTAACAGAAAGCCACTTAAAACCCTCAATTTTCAAAGTCCTCTAGAAGCTTTAAAGGGTGAGAATGAATATATTGTTCCTCCAAAAGTGTTTGGGTGTGTTTGCTTTGTCCACACTAGGAATGTTGTTAAACTTGATCCTAGAGCTATAAAGTGTTTTTATTGGGTATACTCCGACACACAAAGGTTACAATGTTATCATCCTCCCTCTCGGAAATCTTTTGTTAGCATGGATGTAACTTTCGAGAATATGAACCCTATTTAAGTATTACCTCATCACCTCTTCAGGGGGAGAGTAAGTAAGAAGGAAGAGGTGATTCTACCTAGTACTATTACTGGACCTCTTGATGACATTGTCACAGGGGAAAGGGAAATTGGAGAAAGAATTCAGGGGGGGACTATTGGGCGTTTGGATAGGCCTGATTTGAAAACTTACTCAAGGAGAAATAGAGCTGAAGAAGCCACCATGCAATCTACCGAAGCTGAACCTTGTTCTACTGGTGAGTTATCTACATTTCCTAATGAGTTAGATGTGCCTATTGCTCACAGAAAAGGAGTCAGATCTTGCACCACCAAACACCATTTATCTAATTTTGTCTCCTATAATTCTTTTGTCTCCCTCCTATAGAGCCTTTGCCTTGTCTATTTCTTCTGTGTCTATTCCCCAGAATTGGAGGGAAGCTTTTGCAGATCCTAATTGGAAGCAAGCTAAGATTGAAGAAATGAAGGTCTTCTCAAAAAATAAGACTTGGGAACTTGTCACTTCACCACCAAACAAGAAGTTGGTTGGCTGCAAATGGGTCTTTACTGTGAAGCCCAAAGCTGATGGCTTAATTGAAAGATTCAAAGCAAGATTGGTGGCTAAGGGATTTACTCAGACTTATGGAGGGGAATAACAAGAGACATTTGCCCCTGTTGCTAAGATGAACATTATTAGAATTCTTTTGCCTTGTGCAGCTAATCTTGATTGGGACTTGTAACAGTTTGATGTGAAAAATGCATTTCTTCACGAAGACTTAGAAGAAGAGGCATATATGGAGATTCCTCCTGGATTTGATATTGCCCAAAGTCGAGAAAAGGTATGCAGATTGAAGAAAGCCTTGTACTGCCTGAAGCAATCCCCAGAGCTTGGTTTGACAGATTCAGCAAAGCAATGATCTCCATAGCTTGCAATGATGTCTTGGTTTGACAGATTCAGCAAGCTATGAAAAGATTGAAGAAAGCCTTGTACTGACTGAAGCACTGACTGAAGCAATCCCCAGAGCTTCGTTTGATCACACCCTTTTCGTAAGACATCAAACGAGTAAACTGACTCTTCTCATATTTTATGTTGATGATATAATAATGACAGGAAATGACAAAGAGGAAACGGCCTGATTGAAGAAGTTGTTGGCACATGAATTTGAGATCAAGGATTTAGGAAAATTGCAGTACTTCTTGGGAATTGAGGTAGCTAGATCAAAAAGAGAAATCTTTATTTCTCAAATGAAGTATATTCTGGATCTCTTGAAAGAAACTGCTATGACAGGTTGCAAACACGCAGAATCGCCCATTGAAAGCAATCACAAGTTACAAAGCGGAGCTGGATAGTCAGTTGATAAGGAGAGATATTACAGGTTGGTTGGAAGACTCATTTATCTTTCCCACACTAGACCAGACATAACATATTCAGTTAGCCTGGTGAGTCACTTCAAGCATAATCCCCGAGATCCTCACATGCAAGATGTCTTTCACATTTTGCGGTATCTGAAGTCTGCTCCAGGGAAAGGTCTACTTTTCTCCAAACATGATCGACTCCAAATAGAAGCCTTTACATATGCGAATTGGGCTCGATCTCTAAATGACAAAAGATCTACATCCGGTTATTGTATGCTTGTAGGAGGAAACTTGGTTACTTGGAGAAGTAAGAAGCAAAGTGTAGTTGCTAGATCAAGTGCAGAGGCGGAATACAGAGCTATGGCCCACGGTGTTTGCGAATTGCTTTGGCTACAAAACCTATTAGAGGAATTGAGACTGTCTGAAAAAGGAAAACTTTCCTTGTAATGTGACAATAGCTCATAACCTAGTCCAGCATGACCGACTAAAGCATGTGAAAATTGATCGACACTTCATCAAAGAAAAAGTTATAACAGGTGTCTTGAGTTTGTTTCATGTGCCATCGGAAAAACAGCTAGCTGATATGTTTACCAAAGGTCTCAACAAGCAAACTTTCCATATATTGAGTTGCAAGTTGGGCATGTGCGACATATTTTCACCAACTTGAGGGGGAGTGTTAATTAGCATGATTCAAGAAGATTTAATTATATTTAGGAGATTGTTGATTAGCATGATTTCAGGAGATTTGATTATATTTAGGAGATTTGATTTGATTTGATTTGATAGCTAGATTGATTGTATAGATTTATTTTTATTTTCTTAATAAGTATTAGGAGCTTTGTATAAATTCACTTGCTCATGTGATATAAACACACACAGAAATACAAGAAGCATTTTCTTCTTCTCAAAATCTACAAGGTTCGCACATGAGAAACCGTATGGCAAGCCTAATATAAGCAAATTAATTTTTTTAATATTTTAAAATGTTATATGAGATGGTAAACATAACTAACAATGTAAAAGAAGATAAAGTTGAAAATTTAGAACAATTACAAAATAATAAAAGCTCTTTCTAGAAGAATTGACAGCTAGTAAATCATATCAACCCCTATTTTCCTTATGACAACCGAGAAATCTCCTATGGACGGCTAGCCCAACATCACTTGATCCACAAGTTCGAAACTCGAGGAAGTATGGCTCCCCTTACCCTGCTCCCACTTAAATATTAGGCTCCCCGTGAAGATAACGTGTGCTCTATCCACACATACAATATTGCGTCCTTACCACTGAATCAAAGCCCTGGGTGCTCATATTAGCCCTACCTTCTCCCCTCCACAAGACCACAACAAAAGTAGACATAACTATTATATAAGAGGAGTTGGGTAACTCAACAATAGCTATATGAGGCCATTTGCCTGATGTATGATTTACATCAACATGATGCTTGTCTGTTGCTGCAATATCTAAACTTGTTAAAAACATGAGAATACACTTACCCATCAAGTTCCACCAAGAGTTGATTGATGAAGGCTTCATGGTCCTGCTTTTTAGTGTGGATAAACTTCCCTCTGACTCCAGCAAAGAGGTCAAAATCCTCCACAAATATGATTACAGGGGCCTGAACAGGATAATCAAGTAAGCAGATATCACCACAGAAAAACAGCTCTGAAGAATGCACCAGATGTGTTCCTTGACATCATACTCTATATTACTCCAGTATTGTTGCCTTTTCACTCAGTCAGTCAAGTAAAAATCATAAGATTAAGCCACAAAAAGGTTCTACCCCGGTAAGCTTTTGCAAACTTTCTTATTATCTCTTGCATAAAATTAATAATGAGTTGCAGTTCAAGATAAGCCATGTTTTACTTGATTTCCTTTCAATGAAAACATGCACACAAACAAAATCAATCAGTTTTTGTCAGTTCGTGCAAAGAGAGATGTGTCTTTATCCATTATCCATGCTATATCAGCAGCCAATTTCAACAAGACCCTTTTCTTTTTCTTTTTCTTTTTCTTTTTTAGAATAACGACAAGAAGTTGCAGATGGACACCATAACCAGGTATTGGAAATTGTTAGGAGAGGCAATACACAAAGAAACCAGACTGACCAGATCACGTGCTGTTTGAAACAGCTCTCTAACATTTGATGCACTTTGGCCAACCCATAAACCAGCCTCTAACTGTTGGGCTTTAACTTCAACAAGAGGCACCTTAGCTTCTGCTGCAATTGCTAGTGCTAGGGATGTCTTTCCAGTTCCTCTCTCCCCTACAATAAGAACTCCCTGTCATATCACACATGAACTAGAACTTAGTGCAAGCATAAAGCATAATTTTAGCTTTAACATGTGTTGTAGATAGGCATCCATACTACGCACACACAAACAATGCTACACTGTTTTGTTAACAACAATTTTATGATAACTTACAACATGGCCAAGCTTATGGACGCTTAGAAGATCTTGCCAAGAAGACTTGAAGGCTCACAATAGGCTAAATTGGAGATTCAAGTGGTGGATTTGCAAGAAATGGCCCGATTGCTTGCTCTAGCCGGCTTAATTGCACACTTTAGTCATAATTTAGTTATGTAGTGGCTAATTTTATAATTAGGAGCTAGCTATTATAAGGAGTAGCTCAAGCCCTCATTTCTCCTTAGATTGGATGATGAAAGAAATGATGTCTCTTTATTTCCTTTTACGTATTTATGTTTATCTTAATTTCTTTCTTTAATTTGAGGATATTAAGTTTTAGCTTGTGAGTGATTAGTTTTGTGAGAGGTTTATGGTGATTGGTGAAAACCCCAATGTTGCCTTTTGACTTGCCCTTGGATTTGCAAGAGGAAGCAGTTTTCTTCAGGATCCAAATCGCCTAGGTGCTTGTTCTTGATTCTGATAGAAAATAATTAGGAATCTTCTCATCTAATCATTGTCTATTACTTCATTGCTTGCTTGTGTCGAGCTTCTATCCTTATTTTCTTTCCTGTTTTCCATATCCGTGTTCTTGACTTTGATTCATATCATCTTGATACCAAGATGATAACAAACAAGGACGGAAACTCAATGGATAAGGAAATTCAACAAGGAATCAAAGATAGAAGTTAATTAGGATCTAGAATTAATTAGACTAAAGAAAGCCTAATCAACTCAAAGAACAATTAATGAAGCACCTAAACTATGGAAATCCTCAAGAGATCAGGACTCTTGCAAATTCTTGGACAAAGTTAATCAAGCAGTGCATTAATTCACTACTAAACACTCACAATCTACACATTAATTAAGCTCAAAATGAAGGAAACAATTAAACAACAACAACAACAACAAACCTAGTAGCTCAAATATAAATGCATAAATTCAGAAATACATAAAAGGAAATAAAGAGACATCAGGTCTCTCATCATCAAAGTCTAAGGAGAAATGATGGCTATGCTACTATTTATAGTAGCTAGCTCCTAATTATAAAATTAGCCACTACATAACTAAACAATGGCTAAATTGTGCAATAAGCTGGCTAGAGCATGCAATTGGGCCGTTTCTGCTACTCCTGCATTTGTAAACTTTAGCCTATTTTGAGCCTTAAAGTCTTGGCAAAAAACAAAACAAAACCAAAAAAGATCATCACTTCATTTGATTGGACAGAAAATTGAATCTGGATGCATTGTCACAACTTTTGTCAACAAAAGACTAGTTGCCAGATGTTTTCACAAAATCACTCTGAGGGTCCAGAATTAACATCATCTGTGGCAAGCTAGGAGCATACGATATGTAAGCCCCAGCTTGAGAGAGTATTAAATATGTCAAATACAGATAGAATGTAAATATGGAAAGAATCCTAAATCCCTGTAATTAAGTTATTAGGAGATTTTGTAGGAAATAATTATTTTCTTTGCTTTTTGTGTTTCTTGTAAAGGTTATTTAAACCCAATAGCTTGAGTGAATAATCAAGCAATCTATTTCCCAAATTCTCTTTTCTTCTTGTTTCACAGTGTCATTCTTTTCAGGACGGGGTAAAAAGGAAATACCATCACATAAATTAGGACAGAGAGAGTATGCATTGTTACTCTTAAAATCAGGTAAATGGCTGGAATTACTCTTTTCCAGTATGTTATTACACTACTAACCTAAGAGAGCTTGAGATAGCCATACCAGTCCAGGAACAACCAAAACCAACAACTGGACCAAGGAAGAATTCTACCTATCCATCTTCTTGTTTTGTCTTTGATGTCACTTATGAGCCTATTGCATTAGTTGTAAAATAATACATCAAGACTTAAAGGATGAATTGGAATCTAAAAGTGATATATCGGAGATCTACATCAATTTGCAGTTAACTTGATGTCAAGTTAGCACAGCGACTTTGACTCTGCACATAGAAAGCCACTGAACTTAACTGAATACACAAATTGACTACAAAATACAGCAAGAACCATTTTTGTAGGACCAGAGAGATTATGATTATTGTTGAGAGGACCATAACATCTATACTATATTAAAAGCACGAAGGCCCTTAGCGAAATGTCGTTCGCATTTTTTACCCCTTAAAAATAGATTTCACATTAGACAAAATTGTAATTTAACTATTTTCCTAATATTTAGGACTTTGAAATCTACTAAAATTTTGGCTATAAAAACTCTTATTTAGAAACTTAAAATAAAATAAATTTTTTACTTATAAAACTTTTCCTTATTTAGATTGTATAAAGTAACTAACCTTTTTCCTATATGTATGTGATAAAGTGTATATAAACGTACATTACAATTTTACTAATGATAACTTAGATCTAATTTTATGTCTTCAAAATTGAAGATTACTATACAATGTAAAACCAAACTAATACACATATTAGGACGAGTAAGAAAATATCTGTAAACAAGACTATTATGACATGCCAATTGCCATAATTTGAAAATAATAGTAATACTTATATTTAAAGTAATAATAAATACTCAAATTATATACTGAAATTAGTTTTTTTTTTTTTTTTGATAAGATATACTGAAATTAGTATAAATAAATGGTATGTATCTATTCATAAATTTATACAAGTAATTGTATTCTATCATTTATTTGTGACTTTTAGCACAATAACATATTTCGGTTGGTAATTAAGATATAGGGAATTTAATATTTTGTGTTATTAGGCAGCTTTCTCTGCCATGAAGATTTAAGAAACACAAAAATATAGAATTAATTGCCCGCCCCAATCAAACACTTTGGACAAATATCCTTTTTATAAATGATCCTTTGATTTTCTTTAAACCTTTCTCAGTATTTGTATTTTGACTGTTCATTTTTTAATTATATTTTGATGATTGAGGACTATGGCAGTTTCATTCCTTATTGAGTTGACTATATAGAACCAATATTCCTTATTCTACATGAATTTATATTTTTATTTTATAACTCAAACATAATATTTTTATATAAATTCTAAAAACTTTTTACTCATTTAAATAGATTACACGCGCAACGCGCGTATCATAAGACTAGTTCATTTCAAACACCAGAAAATAATTCCTCCATCAACATCATTCTTTCACACAGGTTTATCGTTTATTGGTGTATAAGATATTTAAACAACCATATGACTGAATTCTTCATAGGAAAGCGAAGGCCCTTAAATTATTAGTATATGCATGTATAACTGTCAAGTAGTGGGTACATAGTGGAAGTGCCTTTTTAATCAGTCACAAAGATCTAAACAAAAATGCACCAGTAAGGAAGCAAACCTCCTAAAGAAAAGCATATTCACACTTATCTTAAACTATGAAATTCTGCTTCAATCAAACAGACTTGCAGTAACATACCCGAGGGGCGCGAGCTCCCATTTCTTGAAAAGCGCGAGGATTTTGCAAAAATGCTACGACTTCATTAATTTCTTCTCTCATAGAATCAATGCTTGCAAAGTCATTCAAACGTATAGGGGGATTCTTCACCCTCTGGGAAACAGAGAAAAGGAGAATTGATCACCGAAAGTAAGTATACCAAGGCATTGTCATGATTAAAGAACAAAAGTGCAAACCTTCATCTGATCAAAAGCAGTACTGATTGGATCAACACCTGCCTTCTTTTTTCGCTTTATTCTCCTCGTCCTAAATCTAAAATATGCTTTCTGCAGCAAAGTATAACAATTATTATGCATAAACTTGACTTACTTGAAATTATTGCAAGAAGTAACAATTACTTGTAAGCTGTTATCTAGCAATGATTTGTCCAGACACTAGCTATATAACTGAGTCGAGGAGGTAATTATACCACTCTCCGCAGCTTCCGTAAGTTGGGGTTTCTCCTTAAAGGTCCATAACCAAGAAGCCGTGGAATTTTCCTCTTCATAAAGCGTATCACATAATACAATACATAGCCATATATTGCAGTTCTAATCAAGAACCAGAGATACCACTGCAATTCATCTGTTTTTCTTGATCTGAAACTCATTTCAGCCTCAGATTGCCATTTCAAGTACCAAGTTGAGGCAACAGATTGATCGACATACTCTGGCCAAGCCATACCCAGCCGCATCCTCACCTACACCACAACAGCAAGAGACTGCTTTGAAAACACAGTTAATAAACAAGAAGGAAGATTAAACAATCAACCAGGGTCAAGTTGCAAGCTATATAAATACCCGATAAGGGATGACAAATTCCACGGTAGGGAAAACAATCATCATCATGATGTCATCATTTATGTTTCTAACTTTCTCCACAATCCAGTCTCTCCCGCATGAAACAATTCTCAGAGTCCACAATCCATTTAGACATTGAAGACAGAGTCTTGTGACCAAGAGAAATTGTTGGCGGAAGTCCAGTTCTGAGAAAGGAATCCACATCAGCTGAACCACAGTTGGAATACCTGAAGCAAGCATTCTCAGGTACAAGGCATCAAAACCTCCCAAATCTTCATAAATCATATCATATTCCTGGAATAAAAATGATGAGGTTAAAAATCAATGGCAGATATTTACATCAGAAAGAGAAATCACTGCAGATAGAGCATCATACCTTGATATCAACATTATACTCTTTGTCATCTCCCTTCAACATAACATACATGGCAGCCCAGTCATGTCTGATTCTAGCACTCTCAAGAAGCTTCTTGGACACAGCATAGGGAACAGCCACAGGATCCATCTCCCACCTATTTCTTTCTTCATTGTACCATGATTTTGCCACCACTCTATCCCGATCCAGGAGGATCCTTTCCTATAATAAGCATTTGGAAATAATTATTAAAAAAATTCCACCTTACGAGAGGGCATGGTATCTTGCACTGAGACAAGCAATGAGCAACAACAACAACAAACAAACAAACCCAGTGAAATCACACAAGTGGGGTCTTGGAAGGGCAGAGTGCACGCAGACCTTACCTCTACCTTTGTGAGGGTAAAGAGGTTGTTTCCGATAGATCCTCGGCACGAGAAAAGATGAGAAAGAAGCAATAGCAGCAAGCAATACCAACAACATGATACTAGATAAATCGAAGCGAAAGAGGCAAGCCTAGAGACAGTAGTAAAAAAACAGAACATGTAGTAATAGAAAACTAAGCATAAGGGAATGCAAGATCAATAATGCTAATGGTATGGCAAAGAAAAATGCTCAACTACCTACTAACCTTCTGCCCTAATCCTCGATCTTCACACCCTCCTACCAAGGGTCATGTCCTCGGTTAGTTGAAGTTGCGCCAAGTCCTACCTAATCACCTCCTCCCACAACTTATTTGGCCTACCTCTACCTCTCCTCATACCCACCACGGCCAACCTCTCGCATCTACTAACTACGGAAACTGTGTCCCCTCTGTTCACATGCCCGAACTATCTCAACCTCACTTCCCGCATCTTGTCCTCCACGAAGACCACTCCCATTTGTCCCCAATATGTTCTTTCCTCTAATCTTATCTCTCCCGGTATGACACATCCATCTCACCATTCTCATTTCCACCACTTTCATCTTCTGGACGTGGAATTCCTTTACACGCCAATACTCTACACCATACAACATAGTCGGTCTAATCATTGTTCTGTAGAACTTACATTTAAGTCTCGGACGTATATTCTTGTCACACAAAACACCGAATGCAAGCCTCCATTTCATCCACCTCGCTCCAATACGATATGTGACGTCATCATCAATCTCCCCATTATCTTAGATTACTGACCCAAGGTACATAAAACTAGCTTTCTTAGGGATGACGTGTGAGTCAAGCTTCACGTCCACATCCGCCTCATGAGTCACGTCGTTGAACTTGCACTCCAAGTATTCTGTCTTGGTCCTGCTCAACTTGAATCCTTTTGACTCTAGGGTCTGTCTCTAAACCTCCAACCTTGCGTTAACCCCACCTCGCGTCTCGTCAATCAGTACTATGTCATCAGCAAACAACATGAACCATGGCACCTTCCCTTGAATGTGACGCGTCAAAATGTCCATCGCCAAGGCAAATAAAAAGGACTAAGAGTTGATCCATGATGCAACCCCATCTCAACTTGGAAGTGTTCTGAGTCCCCACCCACTATCTTTACCTGAGTCTTAGCTTCATCATGCATGTCCTTAATCACCCTAATATAAGCTACAGGAACACCTCTACCCTCCAGACATCTCCATAAGACCTCCATCGGAACTTTGTCATATGTTTTTTCTAGGTCGATGAACATCATATACAGGTCCCTCTTCCTCTCTCTATACAGCTTCACCAATCTCCTAACGAGGTGAATTTGTCACGCAGCGACCTCGGGGAGAGCGACCGGCGCTCAACAGAGTTACCTCGGTCGAGCAAGCCTCCACAGTGTCGTCTACCCAACTCACCCACAAATAAAGAGAAGAATACAGTTCATTAATAAGTCAATAAGAAGTCATGTGAACAACACCGGTTCATTTCCATTAGTTACGTCATTAACAAGTTTTCAAAACAGTACATTGTGCAATCATAGTTAAAGTGGAACAGATGATAAAATTATAACATTTTTAGTTTAAACTTCCCCAAAACAGACACAACCCACACCATGTATACGGAGCCTCTAACAGGAACAAAAGAGTGTTATGACAGTGCCGGCAACAAGGCCCCGGCTATACCTCAAAATGCTATATACAAAGGATAGAAGATACAGGACCCCGAAATGAAGTGGGGCTCACCAAATCAGCTGAGGGTAGGGTGTGCTACTATCACTGATCAATATCACCTGCTATGGAACCACCTGCATCCATTAAAGATGCAGCGCCCCCAACAAAAAGGACGTTAGTACTGTTACGCGGCGCCTTCCTAATGTTCCTTGGAAGGGCGACGTAAGGCTAAGCAACCGATGTCAGTACGATTGCTGTCCGCCAACTGAGGTCCCCTCCGCACGCTAGACTAGATTGCCAGTGCCGTACGGGAAAACCAATGTCGTGATCAATTGAAAGAGAGAGCAGAAAAGAGAATTGA